AGGACAGGTTAGAAACTCGGGCGTAGGTTATAAACTAGGGCACGGGTTATAATATATGGCACAGGTTGTAAAATGTGGCACAGGTTAAAAACTAGACCACAGGTTATAAACGAGGGCACGGCTTATAAAATATGGCTCAGGTTATAAACTATGACACAGGTTGTAGACTAGGTTACAGTTTAAGAACTAGGGCACAGGTTATAAACTAGGGAACAGGTTATAAACTATGGCACAGGTTATAAACTAGGGCGCAGGTTATAGACTAGGGCACAGATTCTAAACTGGCGCAAAGGTTATAGACTAGGGCACAGTTTATAAACCAGGGCACAGGTTATATACTAGAGCACAGCATATGAACTAGGGCACAGGTTATAAACTAGGGCACAGGTTGTAGACTAGGGTACAGGTTATAAACTTGGGCACAGGTTATAAACTATGGCACAGTTTATAAACTATGGCACAGGTTATAGACTAGGGCACAGATTCTAAACTGGGGCAAAGGTTATAGACTAGGGCACAGTTTATAAACTAGGGCACAGTTTATAAACTAGGGCACAGGTTATAAGCTGGGGCACAGGCTATAAACTAGGGCGCAGGTTATAAACTAGGGCGCAGGTTATAAACCAGGGCACAGGTTATGAACTATGGCACAGGTTATCAACTAGGGCACAGGTTATGAACTAGGGCACAGTTTATAAACTACAGCACATGTTATAATCTAGGGCACAGGTTATAAACTAGGGCACATGTTATAAACTAGGGCACAGGTTATGATCTAGGGCGCAGGTTATAAACTAGGGCACAGGTTTTGAACTAGGGCGCAGGTTGTGAACTATGGCACAGGTTATAAACTATGGCACAGGTTATAAACTAGGGTGCAGGTTGAACTAGGGCACAGGTTATAAACTATGGCACAGGTTGTATACTATGGCACAGGTTATAAAATAAGGCACATGTTATAAACTAGGGCGCAGGTTATAAACCAGGGCACAGGTTGTGAACTATGGCACAGGTTGTGAACTAGGGCACAGGTTGTAAACTAGGGCACAGGTTATAAACTATGGCACAGGTTATGAACTAGGGCACAGGTTATAAACTATGGCACGGGTTATATTATATGGCAAAGCTTATAAACTGTGGCACAGGTTAAAAACTAGACCACAGGTTTTAAACTAGGGCACGGGTTATAAAATATGGTACAGGTTATAGACCAGGGCACAGGTTATAAACTGGGGCACAGGCTATAGACTAGGGCACAGGTTGTAGACAAGGGCACAGGTTATAGACCAGGGCACAGGTTATAAAATAGGATACTGGTTTTGAACTAGGGCACAGGTTATGAAGTAGGGCACAGGTCATAAACCATGGCACAGGTTATGAACTAGGGCACAGGTTATAGACTACGGCACAGGTTATAAACTAGAGCACAGCTTATGAACTAGGGCACAGGTTATAAATTAGGGCACAGGTTGTAGACTAGGGCACAGGTCATAAACTATGGCACAGGTTATAAACTATGGCACAGGTTATAGACTAGGGCACAGATTCTAAACTGGGGCAAAGGTTATAGACTAGGGCACAGTTTATAAACTAGGGCACAGGTTATAAGCTGGGGCACAGGCTATAAACTAGGGCGCAGGTTATAAACTAGGGCGCAGGTTATAAACCAGGGCACAGGTTATGAACTATGGCACAGGTTATAGACTAGGGCACAGGTTATGAACTAGGTCACAGTTTAGAAACTATGGCACGTGTTATAATCTAGGGCACAGTTTATAATCTAGGGCACATGTTATAAACTAGGGCACAGGTTATAAACTATGGCACAAGTTATGATCTAGGGCGCAGGATATAAACTAGGGCGCAGGTTATAAACTATGGCACAGGTTATATACTATGGCACAGATTATAAACTAGGGCGTAGGTTATAAACTAGGGCACGGCTTATAAAATATGGCTCAGGTTATAAACTGTGGCACAGGTTAAAAACTAGACCATAGGTTATAAACTACGGCACAGGTTATATATTATGGTACCGGTTATAGACCAATGAACAGGTTATACACTAGGGCACAGGTTATACACTAGGGCACAGGTTATAAAATAGGGCACAGGTTATGAACTAGCGCTCAGGTTATGAAGTAGGGCACAGGTCATGTACTAGGGCACAGGTTATGAACTAGGGCAGAGGTTATGACCTATTGCACATGTTATAAACTATGACATAGGTTATAGACTAGGGCACAGGTTATAAACTAGAGCACAGGTTATGAACTAGGGCACAGGTTATAAACTAGGGCACAGGTTGTAGACTAGGGTACAGGTTATAAACTA